GTTCCATTTGAAATGAATGAATAATCAACAAGAATTTCATGATTAATGACGGAAAGGAAACTTCAAAAATGTTTTGTTACTGTATATTATTTTACTGGTGAATATACTCAATATAATTACTTCATTCCTACTACCAGCTAAACGAAAACTATCATTATATTTTACTGTGTTGTGTTCCAGATTACTGTATTAATATTATGGAATAACGCAATTATGAAGAAATTAGGAGTCAGCACCGTATTACAACACGAAAATGTTTTGTAATACGAATACAAAGACGAATCGAGGCAAGTGCGCCACGATTTAGAATAAAAACCGAGAACACACTGGACTCGGGAGCTCATTACCAATGTAGTTCATTATCAAGTACATTTCAACTTATTTTATTGTCTCGAAGTAAACCGTTACTCCTTAGTGTGAAATTAATAAAGTAAAGTATCTTAAATTACTGAGATTGAGTCCATATTACTCGACCATTCTACCATACAACTGAAAAGAATTATTATTATTTCAAATAATTACTGGTTGGTTTTAATTGTTATAATTCGACTGCTACTGTAAGAACACTAGAAGTAGGTAGGGCCTTCAACTCAATCACTTTTGATAAATGACTCAATCGATCAGTTTCATGAGATGACTCTCCTCCTGATCAGCACAGAAGAACACCAGAATTTTACATAGAATTTCAATGAAATTCTAATAGAATTCCAACAGAATTTCCATCGAGTTTCAATAGATATTTAATTGAAGTAGCTGTGTGGCCCCGCTTCACTCAGGCAGAATAAGAGAAAATTGAATACCAGGATTTTTGAGAATTACTGCAATTAGAACAAACACCTCAATGTTTTCAGCATTTCTAGAATACTCAAGAATTTTCTCAATTTTTTTAATTTTCCAGAAACTCCCTGAGTTTCCTCGAGAGTTCTAGAAAGCCCCTGACTTCTCACGAAATTTGTAGAAGCTCCTTGCATTTTCTCGAAATTTCTAGGAATTCTTTGCATTCTCTTGAATTTTATAGAAACTTTCTGAAAAAAAAAAAAACAAATCATAAAATTTACTCTACCTCGTAGCGCATATTTTTCTGGACTAGCCAAAGAGCACGTGTGTAAGGAGAGAATTTGTTTATTTATTTCAATCAATCAATCAATCAGTTTCATATGTTCTGCTATCAGCCAAAAAAAATTATACAATTATCCTCGTAAATGACAATTTAGATTTGTTGAAAATGGCCAACCATCCTTAAACCAAAACTGAATGTCGAAAATTAATTTCGTGGTATTGACCGCAAATTCAATACATTTGTCCTGTTTTTTAATGAAAAAATAGGAATTTAAACGATGAATATCCGATGGAATAAACCCAGGGGTGGGCGAGGTAAAGTGAAACATGTTGTGATATTCTCTAATTAGCAATATCTTCATTTTTAAATGAAGATATTGGGGTTTGGAGCACGATCGGTCCATTAGATTTTGAGAGAGAGCAATTTGTTATCCATCGTGAATGTCGATTCTCAGGCTCTTCAGTTTCTTGTAAGCATCGAGCAAATCTCGGAAATTTCTGCCGTTTACCCTATTCTCCATGGATCTCGAAAACTACTCGAGGTTGTGACATTTCTCATGTAGACAGTAGGACAGTTGAAGCTCGGTCAGGGAAATCAGAGACGATCCACAATGCTCGACGAATTTTTCTGTTTTTAGCTTTACAGTGACGACAATGATTCTATCGTTCGTGAACGCATACATAACTATCCCTAGGAATGGCGGCCTATCACAAAGGGTGAGATTCTTGTTTTCACGACAGCAAGCAGTCGTCGATTATTACGGCCCATCTCTTGCATACTGTAAGACGTATTTTTAAGTGGATATCTTACGATCTTCTTAAAAAAAAACTATGCATGCAAAAATTATCCTACTGTTTAATAAAATGTTCATGTCACGCTACGCGCCACGAAATTGGCGTTTTTCACAAACAACGGCGGGTTTGGCGAGTTTCAAAAACTATCATTATATTTTACTGAAAAAAATTATTATCATTTCAAATAATTGATTTTTCAGCTTTATAACTATAACATTTTATTATTATTATTATCATTATTATTCTTATTATTACAGGTATATATATATATATATACTACTGTATATCGCTACCGTCCTTCTAACGGCAAATATTATTAAAAACTATCATTATATTTTACTGAAAAGAATTATTATTATTTCAAATAATTGATTTATCAGTTTTATAACTATAACATTTCCTCCTTCCTTCGACACGAAAATTAATATACACACCTCGCCATGGAAAACATATTACCCTCCCCCACGTGCTTGCCATCCTCGCCTTCGGCTCGGAAGGCAATCTTGCATGTGGGGGACGCTGATCTGTTTTCCAAGGCTCGGACATGTTTTGTTGATCGGCTTGTTTTGTACCAGTCTGAAGATTATGGGGACGAATAGATTTGACTTTTTACCAAATGGGTACGATAAAAATCATCCTCCATTACGTAAAAATTATACCAAAAATTAAAAAAATTATTCATGTTCACTGGGGTATTTTTCATTCAATGCACGGTAAATTTTACAGTTTCGGTACAAATCACCCTCACGTTTAGTAAATTTTAAGGTAAAAAAATACTGGAAATTGAGGTTGCTCCACGATTATTTGGCTTATACGGTAATTTTTCTCCAACTTTTTTCCCCGTGTGGTCTTATCATTGGAATGAAGTTGATATTTTCCTTCGTCATCGTGCAGTTCTTATATTTTTGTCATCTTTATTTTTTCACACAATTCCATTGAATAAAAATTAAATACTTTCCTTGCTGTACCTTTTCTTCTTAGCTTGATCTCCAATCGTGATTTTAGCCTGGTTTAGGGACTGCCTCTTCGTGGCCCTTAGTGCATCCCTCCCTACTAGGTTCTTCTTCTGTCCCCACAATATTTCGTCGTGCTCCAAAAGCACTTATAACCTCCTCCGGTTCTTCTTCGACAGCACTTTTCCACCATTGAACTATGTTTCACACGTTTCACTCATTGTATCACATTCTGTTTTAACCAAAAATTTGACGTTTCACAACTTGAATCAACACGTGGCCCCAATCCCATTAACATGTCATAGAGACAACCTGACCCTAACAAAACCGAAACGGAACTTCACGGCCATGTACAAGAAATCTTCCACCGATCGAAAATCATCAGTGATGACTCATCACTGATGACTTTTGGTCGGTGGAAGATTTCTTGTTTATTGCAAGAAATGAAAACCCCGCTTCTAGCGAAATAAGGAATCAGTGATAATTCCAAAAACGAATGAATCTAATTATCCGTGCCATAAAAATTGATTTTTATATCCGGTCAAATTTACCATCATTGGCATCAATTAACTAGGTCACGAAAGGAAGGGAAAATCACGGAAACTTTTCACACGTTCACTGAACCGCATCCTTCCAATTTTTGAGTAAGAAACTCGGATTAATTATTCATTCGAGTCAATTTCCTCGGATGAAAGTAATTACGATTATTTCTCCCATCACCCTTCCGAACAATAGAATTGCGGAATTCGACGTCCCGTGGTCCAATCAGAATCGAATTATATCGACAATTTCCTCAATTCTGATTTTGACCAATCACAGTGCAGTGTTCGGGGTCACGTAATGCGTTTAACACTGACAATTTCCTCAATTCTGATTTTGACCAATCAGAGTGCAGTATTCGGAGTCACGTGACGCGTTTCACACTGATAATTTGCCTGCAGCCGGGGAAATTATCAGACTGATAATTTCTCTGTAGCCTGTCAATTGTTTTCTACGAATCTGACAGATATTCCTCACGTTTTGGTGAAATACATCCCGTAACCCCGAACACTGCACTCTGATCGGCCAAAATCAGAATTGAAGAAATTGTCCTCCGGACACCACTCGACCTTCAAAATTCATGGGATATTTCCCTCAAGTTTTCCTGCATATCAATGATCGGGATCAGTTTTGCAGATTAAAATTCCGAGCATGCAGCGTGAGGGATTTTACTTCAAAACTAATCCCTCTCGTTGCTATGCAACAAAACATTCGGGAAATATCCGATAATTTTGAAGGTCTTGGGGTATTATAGCTGATAATTTCCCCGCCTGCAGGGAAATTATCAGACTGATAATTTCCCTGTAACCTGTCAATTGTTTTCTACGAATTTGACAGATATTCCTCATATTTTAATGAAATGTGTTCCGTAACCCCGAACACTACACCCTGATTGGCCAAAATCAGAATTGAAGAAATTGTCCTCCGAATACCCCTCGACCTTCAAAATTCATCGGATATTTCCCTCAAGTTTTCCTGCATATCAACGATCGGGACCAGTGTTGCCAGTTTTGTTTTTTAACCTGCGAAACTTGACATCTTCGTTTGTATGCAACGAAGTTATCGGCAAATACCCGATCATTTTGAAGCTCTCGGGGTATTATAACCGATAATTTTTCATTAATTTTTTTTTCTTCGACAAAAATTAAAACAGTTAATTGCTAATTCATTCAGTTAGCACTTAAGTAAGATGATTGATTTGTATCTAGTAACAAATGCAGGAAGTGACCTGAGTTCATGAAACATGGTAGCCGTCTTTAAATCGACATCCAATAAAACAAGGATATTTCAATTTTCTTTTTAAAACAAGGGTATCTCAAAATTCATGTGAAAGATTGTTGTTCACCTTCATTTCTAAGTCTCACGAAGCTCGCAAATCATTTTATTTCTCTTCTAATGTGAACTACTTCATGTTATTTGTACTTTTTGATGCGTTCATTTCATTTATATAGCTATCAAGAAAAGGAAAACGTGCGATTTCAGACAATTTTTCACATGAATTTTGAGATACCCTCATCTCAACGCGAACTTTGACATACTCTTGTTTTAAAAAGAAAATTGAAACACCCTTGTTTTATTAGGATATCGAAATTAGCATAAATAAAATATCTAAGAAAGTCGGACATTGGTAGTGTCGAGAAAAATGGATCTTACCCCGCAGGATAGGCGACTAGGTCACTTGTTCTGTCGCAATCGAGTGCCGCGTTACTCGATACAGTCACGCCCAGCACCCGTTCTAATTTGATCTGTAACAAATCGAAATGTTTCTATTTCATATGCTCTTTCTATTAAAACTTCCTATTTCGGCTGATAATTAAAGTACATTTTAGATTCAATGCGGATAAAAATTTTCATCCCGAGCTATCAATTGAATGGAAATTAATTTTTATGTAATGAAGTTTCTCAGTGCATAAAAATGTACACTATAAGAAATACCCGTAGCGTCTGGCCCTCTCAATTCTTCAAGGTTTAAATCTTTCAAAACTGTAGGCTGATGTCATATTCGATACGTGCTTCTGAGTGATTTTCATAAAACGTGGGTAGAAATTTGTGTAGGCGAGAATTTGAGATTCCGACGTATGGAAACTAACACAGATGATAAGTTCTCGGGATGGAAATACGGCAAACAATATATATGAGCGAATCCACCAATTCTGTATACGAACAATTGCCTCAAAATTTTAAAAGTTTTTCCCTCACGCTGTGCGAAAAAGTAACTTTTTAGGCACGCTTCAATCCTCTGAACGAAACACTCAATACAGCACACAATGGCTATATAAGCACGGTCGCTCGTTCCTCTTCACCCCTCACACGGACAGGGATTGGTAGGATTTTTCGTTCAGGAGTAATTTCCGTTTAGTAGTAAAAAATTATGTAGGACTTTTTCAAACAGTAATTTTAAACAAGCACGGGGCAGTGAGCATACGACGGTGCGCCATGTGACAGTGGGAATGTCACTAAGTGATGTCTTATTTTCCTTCGCCGTCAATACAGAGAGGGGTTCATGTACGGGGCTTTTGTATATGGCGTAACGAAAGTCGAACATAGAGATGAGAAATGACAAAATTTAATAAAAGCCAAAACGAAGGTTGAGGAATATGAGTCAAAATTAAGGGTCGCGAGAGTTGAATGTGAGGGTCAGAATTAAGGGTCAAAGGTGAGGATCAAAAACTGCAGAGAAAGTTGCTAAGAAAGAAGTGTGTCTCAAGCGATGGAAAATTGGATGAAATATCTAGATTTGGAATAAAATTTTAAGGTCATAAGCGTCGAAGTTTTTCGCACAAAAAAATGTGTCTCAAACGATAGGAAATTGCAGGAAACATCCCAATTCGCAATGCAATTTTTGGGTCATCAGGGTCAATATTTTAGGGTCATAGGATTCATAATTAAAAGAAAAATTGTGTCTTAAACGATAAGAAATTGCATGGAACGTCCAAATGTTCAGCTAAATTTTGGGTTATAAGAGTCAAAAATTCAGGATCAAAATTTTTTTTAATGAAAAAAATTGTATATGTCCCTAACGATAGAGAATTCCATGGAATGTCCAGATCTGCAAAAAGAAATTTTGACCCTCATGACCCTCGAGATCCTTTACCTTTATTTTTGAACCTTAATTCTGACCCGTATTTCTAACCCATACCTGACGCACGTAACCCTTAGATTTAATTTATGTTCGACAATTATTTCTCACCCTTACAACTAACCCTCCTTCATTATATTCTTGACGATTTTCTCTTGTGGTTACCCTTATTTATAACCTTTATTGCTGACTCCCATTTCGTCTTTTATTCCGGACCTTCAATCCTGGTGATCTTCAATTTTGATCTTTATTTTTTCAGCTTTATCATATTGTTAACGCTTATTTGTAATCCTTACTGCTGACCCTCATTTTTGAACTTTATTACTAACTCGTTTCTTATCCTTATTTCGAACCCTCAAGCCTGATCCTTGTGACCCTTAGTTTTGATTCGTATTTCAGAGTCTCATTCTTGTGTCCCTTATTTTTCACGCTCACACTTGACACTCATATTTTACTGTCACCTTTGACCTCTTAGCTATGATCCCCGTTTCTGAGCTTCATTTTTGAACCTTATTTCTATTCTTAATTCTAACCGTGACACCCAAACCTTGTGACCCTTCGTTTTGACCCGTATTTTGCACTCTTACGCCTGATCCTTGTGACCTTCAGTTGTGACTCTTGTTTCCGACCCTCATTTTTGTGACCGTTATTTTTTATCTACATAACTGACCATTTTCCTTTACTCTCACACTCGACCCTCGTGAATTTTCGACCCCCCCCCCCCCCCNTAGTTTTGATTCGTATTTCAGAGTCTCATTCTTGTGTCCCTTATTTTTCACGCTCACACTTGACACTCATATTTTACTGTCACCTTTGACCTCTTAGCTATGATCCCCGTTTCTGAGCTTCATTTTTGAACCTTATTTCTATTCTTAATTCTAACCGTGACACCCAAACCTTGTGACCCTTCGTTTTGACCCGTATTTTGCACTCTTACGCCTGATCCTTGTGACCTTCAGTTGTGACTCTTGTTTCCGACCCTCATTTTTGTGACCGTTATTTTTTATCTACATAACTGACCATTTTCCTTTACTCTCACACTCGACCCTCGTGAATTTTCGACCCCCCCCCCTCTTTCAATAGAACCCTCATTTTACGGCCCCCCATATGACGCCCCCTCTCTAACAAAATCTCCCATATGTGTGATCTAAATATATGAACTTTTCTAAATACTAACTACTCATGTATAACCTCCTATATACGACCCCCTCCCCTAATAATAGCAGAGAAGATGAGAAGTCAAACTCATCATACATCTCATTTAAGGTGTTTCGGCTAAAAAATCAAAATAATGAAAAAAAAATTGAAAAATTCACGGGAGAAAATTCTGAGTATGCTGCATCATTGAGAATACTTGCACTTTTGTTTCAGATATCAATCTCAAGAGAAAAAATAATGAAATTTGGAGGTTTTTGTAACCCCTCCAGCTATAACCTCCAAGGTTACCCCACTCTCAATTAGGGAAATTCCCATGGCACCCAATCGAAAATAATGAAGAAAAACTAGTAGGTGATGAATTAAATCTTTCTTGAGAATACGTATAAGTTTCAAATTTTTTTCAGATTTCATAAGAAAGTTATTTGAACAAAGGATTCGAAAAATAATGAGTTTCAGAGCAATTAAGCCCTCATGCGCAGGCGCGTGATTCGATTGTCAGTGAGCATCATGGGAAAGGCATGGGTTGGACCATGGAAATGAGAGAGAGAAAACACTTGACAGTTTTATGAACGTGAGATGCATTTTAATATGATATAAAAAATTAAAAAAACATCCAATAAAAATTATTTGACACTCGTAGGTGATGAGAAAAAAATCAATCAGTGATAAATAACATCAATGTTTAAAAAATGTTAAAATGCACACTTAAATAGTTACTTGAAAATTGAAAAATTTCGGGCTCAGCGATTGAATCAAGGCTCGAGAACAATAAGCCTCTCCTTCCGTTTCACCCCCCTCTCATCTACAGAAGAAACACCTCGAACAAATATGAATTTTTCTTAGTCTGAAGCAATAAATATGAAGTACCCTTGAGGCTACAACTCGAGTTCAATATTTTTTTGGGTTCCCCTCTGGGAAGGTTGAAGAGATCAAGACATTATTAACTTCCCGACCCGAAGGGAGGAAGTTATTGTAATGACCCCGAAAATCGAATGTGGAAATTTAAGCATTTCTCCGTTTCGTGACCTTTGGAACCACTTCTGACCCTTTTCAGGTACCTGTCTGTATGTGTGGATGTGTGTATGTGTGTGCGTACGTCTGTGACAAAAATTTTGTGCCACGATTCCTCCTGAACAAACGATGCGATTTGACTTTTTTTTTTTTTAATCGCTGTATTTTCATGTGACTTGAACCTGATTAGATTATGGAGACGATCGTCTCAGCGTTTCTCCAGTTTTTTCCAAAAAACATTTGGAAAAAAGTCGAAAATTAGCGTTTTCTTGTAAACGAGACCATTTCTCCGTGCATAACGATGCGATTTCAAGTTTTTTTTATTAGAAACGATGAATCTTGATATAACGCACAAATCATGGAATACTGGAAGACATTTAATCAGCAGTTCACTAGCTTTTTTCGAAATCGATATACATTCAAGAAACAATTTTACTTTTCTGATAAATGACATCTTTTCTCGATGCGGAATACGGCGATGTGTGTGCATGGGAGTGTGTGTGAGTGCGAGCACGCGCCCGGATTTTCTTGTCTTCTATGGGTATTTCCTCGGAGAAATGTGAGAAAAAGATTGAATAAATACATAATAAAAATATTAATGAAAGAAAAAACAAATGGTCGGCAAGTTATTGGTGCGACCCGTAATGGGTCACATCCAATTCCACCAACCCCTCCTACCGGTCATACCCTAAAGAGGGGGCGCGCGAAGCGCGCGACCGGGCCTGATTTTTTATTTTGTCAAGATCTTGGAATTTATCCACCTTCACAGGAGAATCTAAGTTCATTAAATTCAGCGGAACTTGTTTTGGGATGTCAAAAAATCGGGTGCCACTCAAGTTAACCAAAAGGTCCAACTGTAGGCATTTCCTCAAACGTTCTCAGCTAACCTCAGCGTCTGTAGCGTCATCTACAGGGTGTCCCATAGCATGGGACCAAAGTAAATTGCGTAAAATACCGCAAGGTGGCAATGCAGTATAAAGTCTAATATATGGTTGAAGTGAAGACTCTCCGCAAATTTTATTCATGCTTTAGTCGCTCGGGAATTGCAGCACTAAAATGGAAAATTTAACCATCGAACAAAAATCATTCCTCACTAAATCATATTACCGAAAAGGAGATTCAGCTACTGCAGCTATAAGAGCATTTCATTCCAAGTATGGCACACACACTGCAGTGTCTGATTCGAGTCTCAAACGGTAAATAAAGTGAATGAACTAACTACCCAAAAAATTTTTTCTTCTTTTGTTGAAAATTGACGTATTTTTCGACCAATTATGGCTATTTTGAGGATAAGTAAGAAATTTGATCAGTACGGTACACTAGACGATAGAAAGCATGAGCATCCTGGTCCTTCACGTACTGTAATCACGGATGAAGTTGTCCGCACAACTGAAGAACATTTAAAAAAATATCCAAATGATACTCTTCGAAAGGCTTCTCAAACCTTGAAAGTCTCAAAAACTTCACTTCACCGCATCTTGAAAGTGTTTTTGAACT